TCGAAATTAACCCTTTCACGCTAGAAATTCCTCAAATCCGGACTCAACCATCAGCTAGAGCATGAAAAATAGCTAGAAATTCATACCTCAAACGACCGGATTGGTGGCCGGAGGAGGGAGAAACCGCTAGCCAAAGTTCTGTCAAAAACCGATCGAAAAACATGGTTTTCCGACGTGCTGGCCATGACTGACGGCGGAACAAGGCCTGGGCGTGATGGCGGAGCTAGGCCGGTCATTTTGTGACCGGTCTCGTGACCTGTGGTGGCCGAAGGCGGCGGCTGCAAGGGGAGGGGGTATCGGCTGGAGAAAAAAAATCGGGAGAGAAGGGAGCTGTCGCGCGTTGGAGAGAGAGAAGGGAGATTCCAGTTTTAAAAATCGGACTTCACAATTTACTATTTTGCCCCTGAACATATTTTGAGCTAACCCTCTCAATACAACTCCGATTTGAGCCCATTACGTGTCTACGGACTCACCGTGATGCGTTCTACGCAACGATATAATTGAAATCCCCAAATTACTTCCCGGTCAAAAAGTCAACTTTTAAACCAATAAAGTATTCTAGGGGTATACTTGTCTTTTACTGGAATAAATTAATAATTAAATATTAATTTAAGGACCGGGTTGTTACACACCATGTGTTCAACTAAATGCCTCAAAAAGACTTTGCCCACTGTCTAAAGGAATTAGTACCAATTAGTTTACGTTTCAATTATAGTGTATTTGGTTGTCTAATTTTCTTTTGGGATTCTTAGATCTAGGTCCAAAACGATTAGCTGTCATTGGGTTTAGTCCACGCGTTTTTTGTTTTAGATGTAGGTCCTTTGACTTTTATTACTCTTTTTATTATGTCGATTTTACCCTTTGAGTTAAATAAGGAAAACATAGAAAATCTAAATTTAATGAATTATGTACTTGTAATTAAATTTCAGAATTTAAATTTGGAATTCTTTCATTGATAATATTTACCTAATGTATGGGTAAAATACAAATTAATCGATGAAAATAAAGGCCCACATGTTATACTAATCAATTAGGCAAGCACCCACATTAAATTATGTACCTAACATACAGGTAAATAGTGTTCTTATTAGCAACGAAAAAAACTTCGTGATAAATCGTGTTACCTATAAGTCATGAACATAAATTAGAATACTACATATAAGTTAGGAACATAGACTAGAAGACTACCTATAAGTCATATACAAAAATACACAAATAAAATTGTATGTTATTCTATAAAAAAAATGTACATAAAATACTATTATTCATTGTCTAAAATATGAAAAAACACATATATACCTATGCAATAGGCAATATACCCACACCATAGGATAATTTATCTACAAAAGTATATACTATACCTCTACCATAGGGTGAACAAAAATAAAAATAATTACCTACAGCTTTTCGAAGAAAACGAAAGGGGAAAGGAATCTTGTAATATGGAATGCCATGATCTTGGGCCACATTCAAAATCATTAGCATGAGGAGGCTTTAGAATTATATGTGGCAATGTACATATTGTCAATTGACCGTACAAGATCAACATTCTCTATCATAGTATATATATATATATATATAATTGAAGAAAAGAAGAAGATGGAGAACGAAGAAGATAAAGATGAAGAACAAGAAAGAAAAACGTGCATCTAGTTAATAAGCTAAATTCTAGGAAAAATTGTATCTTCAAAAGAATCAATAATCCTAAAAGTATGTGCAATAATAAAATCCATGTTAAATAGGAATTTGAGTCAAGATGAAGGTTCGACATACATTCAAAATGTAATTATTCATTAAATTGTACATGATCAAATCTAATCATTAATAGCATATAAATTCTCATCTTACTCATTTTAGACAATAGGGGTATAATAGGAAGAAAAAATTTAAATACAAATTAGTTAAATACAAAAGCATGTCAAAAATGAAATGTAATCTACGTGGCAAACTAGTCAAAAGACTTATATCAATAAACAATAATTCGAGAACTAGACCCAACTATTGATTGGATTTTTGGACTTCTATCAACTTTTCTATTTTCTTTTTGTGGCTTTTAGCCTTTTCAATATTGCCCTTCTCTTGAAAATTTACTTACTCCACCACAAATGATGACCTAAGACATGAATGATTCAAATAATGAGATGACCTTATAGAATAAGCCCAAACAAATAATTAACACCTTATTAACTTACTAATTGAATCCGCGCTTGACGT